CTTGACTAGATAGCGTGCCCATGCGTTGATACGGGATAGCTAATATTTTGTACTAAAAACACACCGATCGCACGATAAGATAACAATACTGTAAAAATTAAATACCAATGTTAAAATGACATTTAATCCAAAAAAACAAAGTATGTGAAATTAACACAAGTCATGGAGAGCGCGGCGTCGTAGGCTCACAAACTCTACTTTATAGATATTTTTCGTGATGTGGCTAAGATAATGTTTTATATTGGTAGAAAGATATCTCCAATATCCATTTCTTTCGTGCGCCAATAAATACCAATGTTGAATATCCGGACTCGGATACAGATCTAAACCCTCTAAACGGATACGGATAGATCTAAACCCTTTAAACGGATTCGGTCTCGGATACGGTCGAAAAATATCCGTACCGTTTTCACCCCTACTCATAACAATGCCTAAATAAATGGATTACAAATTACATCCACCAAGGTTCATATGCAATAGACAAATTACATCTGCAAGGTCCATAGCTCCAACAAGTTAGAAAATAATAATAAAAAATCCAGAATTGAAAATTGAATTGTCTTAAGAACTAAAACAAACTAAAGCAGTTTTGCTGAGCCGCTAGTGGTCTTGCTTGTCTGAAATTAAACTACATTCTGATCAACAGTATTGGATGAAATGGTCTATTTAAATGGCACAGGATACACCGTATGTTTGAACAAACTATATGAGTTTGATAGCTACTGCTCCAAGGCCCTACAAATGGTAATATGTCAAAGAAAGTTAACCTTCCAAACTAATAAATATGCATTAAGGGAGAAAATACAAATAGTCTCTGTTAAAACTGGCAAAAAAAATAATTGCAGTAGGAGCCACTGGCTCCTCCTGATTCGTAAAAAAAAGTTTGAGAGACATGTATATACAGGCTTTAGAAATAGGTTTTCTTTCACTTTGCTGGCAAACCAGTGCAGCTAATAAAAAAATAGATCTGCAAGGTCCCTAGCTCCAACATGTTTTGCATGGAAACAGTGCAGTTATGCTGACAACACCACGTGACAACCATGGCCTACAAGCACATACAACCATAGGCAAATAAATTATCCAATCTAGGGATTCAGCATGTATGAGATGCAATAATTCAAGATAAAACTTATTCTTCTTTTTTTGCACTTAGTAAGGTTCCACGTCGGCAGCCGGAAAATATGACCATAAGAGAAAAACCAAAGCTACTTATGCATGACTCTGATGGCACTTGTGCACACAGGCAATCAAGATGTTTGGTTTGTTGGGCACTGCATTGAAAACTGTGGTGGTCGATTAAGGGTTGGGGTCAAAACTTGGATAGTTATCAAAGAAGAGCTAATCAGGATTTAATGTCCATAATTGACCTCCTGGATGAATGGAGTGACAGTAGAGATTTATCACTAGCTGAATGGGAAGAGAGATATACTTTAGACATGTCCCTTCAACACATTTTGACTGATGAGGAAATTCAATGGCAGAGAAGAGGTGGTGAGAAGTGGTTACTACAAGGCGAATCCAATTCCAATTATTTCCATAAGTGTGCTAATGGAAGGAAGAGGAAAATGCAGGTTACTATGTTGGAAATTGATGGTCAAGAGGAGATAGATCCAAATTGTCTGAAAGACCACATAACTGATTATTACAAACAACTTTTTGGCTGAGCTGAAGTGGCACAGATGCACTTGGACCCTGATCTATGGCCTGTCAACCAGCAGATGCAACAAGCTGATAATAAGTCTTTGACTAGACCTTTTACCCTTGAAGAGTTGGACATTACAATCAAACAGATGAAAAACAACACTGCCCCTGGTCCAGATGGGTTCTCAGTCGAATTTTATAAAGCTTTATGGCCTTTCGTCAGAGATGACATCAAAGGAATGCTGGATAGATTGTTTGAAGGTCAGTTAGAGCTCTGGAGACTTAATTATGGTGTCATTATCCTAATTCCCAGAGTCAAACCGGCTGTCAATGTTAAACAATTTAGACCCATATGTCTCATGAATGTCATATACAAGATAATTACTAAGACTCTTACTATCAGACTGACTTCTGTGATTGATAAGGTTATCAGTCCCTATCAGACAGCCTTTATCCTTGGCCAGAATATTCTTGAGGGGGGTTGTTATTCTACAAGAGTTTTTGCATGAGTTGAAAGCCACTAAGAATTCTGGTGTTATATTGAAATTGGACTTTGAAAAAGCCTATGATAAGGTGGACTGGAATTTCTTGGAAGAGGTATTACACAGAAAAGGTTTTTCTGACACTTGGATTCAATGGATCAGTAAGGTGGTTAGAGGGGGCACAGTTTGCATTGATTTAAATGGGGAAAGAGGTGAATTCTTTAGAAGCTTCAAAGGTCTGAGGCAGGGTGACCCCCTGTCACCTCTACTTTTCAACTTGGTTGCTGATGCCCTATCAGCGATGTTATCTAGAGCTAGTAAAGCTGGAGTGATTTAGGGCCTAGTCCCTCATTTAATGGATGGAGGTATCACACACTTGCAGTATGCTGATGATACTGGGTTATTTGCTGTAGTTTTCTGTTGAGAACCTAACAAATGTCAGATTTGCTTGGAATGATGCAGCCAAGCTCATATTAGAATTCATATTATGGAGCTTCCTGGCACTTCTTGCCAGACAGGATGTCACCTACTAGGCGCTGCTGGTCAAGATTTTCCACCGTTCTTTTCTGACACTTCATTTCTTATCAGATTTATTTACAAAAGGAGTTGAGGATTAGTTTGGTTATTACTTGTTTCTTTGAGGTGAGCTGCAGCCATGGGAAGGGTAAGAGTTTCGATTTTCCTCTTCTGCAAGAGACTGACATTGGCTGGCATGTGAACGGCCTGCGCAAGGACCCTTCCATTCATTTCTGGCGACTGGTGAAGCAGCTCATTAGGTGAAGAGCACGGGAATATGTGGCCTAATCAACATGTTGGAACTCATTGTAAGAAATTCTGTATGCATATGGTTATAGGAAAGTTAATGCCTGAATTTAATTTAGCTGCTTCTAACTTGCTACAATAATTTTTCTTTTTTCAAACAAGAGCAGCCTTTTATTTACTAATGGTGCTAATTTCATTACAGATCTCATGAAGGTTACTCATGAGGACCACACGGAATTTCTGCTTTACTTGGTTTGGATCCATGACGAGGTGGGTAACCTTTTTTTATACTGAAAAAATGTAGGTAGGCATACAAGAGAGTTTGCTCCTCATGCTAAACCTATCGATATTAATGAAGGGTGAGTCATCTGCATGCTAATTACAGTTCATGCTAGCCTAGAGTTCGTGTTTGAAGGCGTCCCTCTAAAATAGTGGGAAGGTTCCTGTTGGATGGCTGATTGCTGATGGAATTATTATGGTATCCAGATCAATTTTATTTTTGATGTACTGAAAATTGCACTATTTGTTCAGCTTTTTATGATGGAATTTGTATGGTAGTTCAGTGATAAATTTTTTATTGCCTACCTGATAACCAATTTGACTAATATTTTTCATATACATATTGCATTGCTAGGTGTAGTACATGACTGCTGCTTGCAACATATTGGTCCAGGGCTGCAGGCTATTAGTACTGATATTAGCCTCCTCATTTTCATGCAACAGTGGTGCAGGTTTGCAGCTCCTCTCTGACTGAATCTGATAGATATTCATGTGTTTTGTTGTTTTGTAGAACAAGTTTGGATTTTGCATTCACCAGTTGCACTCATCTGTCAGACTCTCTAAAAGCATTTCTATTTAATGTTCTTGTGTAGTGACTTGCAATGGTAACCGTTCGCAGCAGGATTGAAGGGGGTGTGAAGGCCGTCAGGACTAACGGAACGCTTGCGGTGCACCGTGTGCGGGTCATCTATTCTAATTGAAGTATGTGCGGGCTGTCAGGCAGGATTGAAGCATATGCGCTGCAGCGCTTAGCCTACCTCGGCATCTCCACAGCGGTGCTGGGGTTATATTGAAATTGGACTTTGAAAAGCCTATGATAAGGTGGACTAGAATTTCTTGGAAGAGGTATTACACAGAAAAGGTTTTTCTGACACTTGGATTCAATGGATCAATAAGGTGGTTAGAGGGGGCACAGTTTGCATTGATTTAAATGGGGAAAGAGGTGAATTCTTTAGAAGCTTCAAAGGTCTGAGGCAGGGTGACCCCCTGTCACCTCTACTTTTCAACTTGGTTGCTGATGCCCTATCAGCGATGTTATCTAGAGCTAGTAGAGCTGGAGTGATTCAGGGCCTAGTCCCTCATTTAGTGGATGGAGGTATCACACACTTGCAGTATGCTGATGATACTGTGTTATTTGCTGTAGTTTTCTGTTGAGAACCTAACAAATGTCAGATTGATCTTGTCTTGTTACGAAGCTATGTCTGGCATGAAAATTAACTTTGAGAGAAGTGAAGTATTTTCAGTTGGACTGTTAGTAGATGAGCAGCAACAGACGACTGCAATCTTGGGATGTAAGATTGGGACATTCCCCATAAAATATCTAGGCATGCCGGTGGGCCATTGTAAAATTACCAAAGCCCAATTGAGATATGTGAGTGATAAAGCTAAAAAGAGGTTAGGTACTTGGCAATGTGATCATCTGTCTTCTGGAGGTAAATCTACCTTGATTGAATCTTGCTTATCCAGCATTCCCATGTATACCATGGGTGTTTATGAGCTCTATGAGGGTAATTACCAATTACTTGATTCCATTAGATCTAGATTTTTCTGGCAAGGCACGGGCAAGAAAAGGAAATACCATATGATTAAGTGGGAAGCTCTCAACAGACCAAAAGAGTTTGGAGGTCTGGGTTTTTTAGATGTGAGACTGATGAATAAATACGTGTTGGCAAAATGGATTGATAAGTTAGAAAAGGGTGATGATAGCCTATGTTGCTCTTTGCTAAGGAAGAAATACTTAGGGCAGAAGAGCATTTTTCAAATAAAAACAGAAAAGGCTCTCAATTTTGGAGATCTTTGTTGGATATGAGATTTTGGTATAAAAAAGGCAGGAAAATGGAGGTTAGAGCGGGTCAGCAGACAAGGCTGTGGCATGACTGCTGGTTAGGTGACTGTCCATTGAAAGTCAGATTTCATAACCTATTCCGAATTGCAACTAATCCTGACATAGCAGTCGCTAAAGCTTTTGAGCAAGGACAATGGTCCATCTCGTTTAGGAGACAACTTAATGATAACCTAAGAGAAGACTGGCAAGATCTCCAAGACATATTGAGTGAGGTTCAGCTATCAGATGGTACAGATGTAGTTCGCTGGGCATGGGAAAAGTCAGGAAAATACTCTACGAGTTCTCTATACAAAGCAATGATCTGTGGAGGTGTCACTGATACTAGAGCTATGATGATCTGGCAAAGTCCCATTCCATTGAAGGTTAAGATATTCATCTGGATGGCCATACATGATAGAATCCAGTGCGGAGTTCAGTTAAAAAAGAAGAAGTGGTCAGGCCCGGAGAAATGTTTTGTTTGTGATAAACATGAAACATCTGATCATATACTTTTCCAATGTCCTTTGGCTATTTTCCTGTGGTCATTCTTGCGGGACTGCTTGGGGTGGTCTGTGTCACCAACCAGCTGTTCCACGCTGTTCTTAGAGATCGTGGAAAGATGTCGGGGTAAGAAGCAGACGTTAACCCTGTTTCTATCTGCAGGTGCACTATGGTCCATTTGGAAGTCTCGCAATGATGTGGTATTCAACAAGAAGATCGTGACGTCGCCGGTGTTTTATTTGTATATTTTATATCATATATTCCGAGACAGACACCACTATATGACCACTAAGCTGTCATCTGTGTGACTGTGTTCCTAACAGAGTATCCCAGTCCAGGGCTCGATCCTTGGTGATGAAGTTCTTCCTCTGATTGAGACAACCCAATGTCCAAAACCATCCCATGGATTTTTCTGAAGCCGAAGCACTGCAGTTCTGAACACCGTAGTACTTTACATGCTCATCCGTCATCCCTTCCAGGGATGTGTATTTGGTGCTATACATGTTCCGTCTTTTTTTTGCTATCTGGATCATGAATCAAAATGATGACACCATCAACATCGCTACAAGAGTTAAAGGACCGTGGCATGGTTATTAAGAAGCTTGTAGTTGTAATTCAGAGCTGCACTGATTGGCATAGTTCAAATAAAAAAGTCCATTTTGCTTTCTTAAAAAAATAGAAAAAAAATTATTGCTCACCTATCATATGGCGCCGTTTTCTGGATGAACACGCTGCAAGTTTCAATATTTTTGTCCACCGACTAATCATTATTCGATATTGCAAAGGTGCGCCATTAATTGCGGCTACATGAATTCCGCATAGTCAAGCTAAGTAGTACTGTAGTACACTAGTACCTTGGAGAGTTGGGGTTTGTGGTTTCTCTCTTGCAACTGTCACTCTTGTCTTGAGATGATTGTGCAGAACTGATGTCCCTTCAGTACTGTTGCACCTGACAGCCATTGTAGAGAATGCACTCTGCTTTCACAGGCTTCCGTGAACACTCGACAGCCATGTGCAGTCTGAACTCCAAAACTAATCCATGCCTTGGACCGCTCCTTGCGGTCGGTGCTGCTCGCCGTCCAGGTTTACTAGCAGAGAAATAAATGAGTTGCTTCAATCCCATCCCCATTATGTCTACTGAAGGTTCAGACTTTAGAGCATTTTGCGGGGTTACTCGTTAGCAAGAAAGCAAGAAAATTGAGGTTAACATTATTTACACTAACTCTTTTGATTACAGAAATCGCATTATATATATATATATATATATATATATATATATATATATATATATATATATATATTGGAGTCCCTTCTGTAGTCAACAAATTAAACAATATACACCCTCGCGGGAAGAAAATACTGATAGCCTCCTTTCAGTCATATGACAACAGAACATCTACTACATCTCTGCTTTCAGAACTACCGGCAAGGCCAATCAGGAAAACCGTATTTAGCATTCAGCAACATGAGCACTTGGGCAATGAGGACAAGGTTTACAAGTGAAACAAAACCCTGTGCAGAATCAGAGAACCTGTCACAAGAAACATCAGTTTTTTTTTAAACTAGAAACATCAGGTTTTTGAGCCTACAGAGTGAAAAGAACAACACTTTTAGCACTTTTGGCATTGGCTTCTCGCCCTTGGGCCGTGGTCAACAATAAGCCTTGTAATTTGTAGCAAGTCTCCTAGGAGAAACAGGGAAGTGCTTTCAACACTTGCTCGAACAGCTTGTAACAGTATGATACTCCTATAGGTTCTGAAGACGGTCACTGCAGCCATGGTGTCAGCTTGAATGCCTGCAAATAGACATAAAAATGTATGTAAACCATCAAGATAACATGGTCAACGGTAGAAGTATACCTTTCAAGGCGAGATGTGGAGAAACCTGTAATCAGTTCACATAATACCCATCAATGTTTACATTTAGCTTGCTTGTCGCTAGCATTCTGCATTGCTTGGTTAGCTCCATGCTGCAATCGTGGACCTCCAGTTCTTCCAGGGAAGGTGGGAGGCCCCTTTCTGGCAGCTTTGAGATACTCCAGCAATCATTGATCTCCAACCGCTTGAGAGAGAGAAGGCTATGCAGACCCACAGGAAGATCCAGGAGTTCGCGGTAACCAACAAATTGGAGCTCTTGCAGGGACGTGAGGAGCGGAAGTGCTGCCTCTTGCTCGCATGTTAGTCCTGTCAATGGCTTATAAGCCGAGAGGCATTGGAGAGAGGTGAGGTGCTCGCAGAATGGCGTGGTAAGAAAAGACGGGTCATCGATCCGAAGCCTTTCCAATCGAGGGCACAGCTCATAACCCTGCGTTGATAGACTCTTCAAACATTGAGGTAAGCCAGGGCATCTGTATAAGTCCAAATACCTGAGACTGCGGAGGGATCGGACACCCTCTAGTGCGTCTAGCGATTCGTTATTTCGAATTGTCAGCTCTTCCAGTGCTGTGCAGGAATGCAGCTGTAGAGATTTCAATGCATCATTTCCCGACACTTCTAATCCTTTGAGGCGGGTCAGATCTCCCGAAAAGCAGGGCTGCAGCGTTTCTAGGGAAGCGTCATGGATATCCAGTATGCCAAGTGATTCAAGTGAACACGGGAGAAGCCATCTTCCGTTTGCCTGGTCATCGATTTCGTCTTCACGCACCAAGGACGATATCAGCTCGGGGCATCCAATAATTCTTAGCTCCTCAAGGGAGGTGAATCCAGAGAAGCATTCCTTGTTCCCCAGAAACTTTAGCTTGCAAAATTCAATGGACATCTTCTTGAGAGAGGGTATGAGGTTAGATGGAATCCGCAGGAGTTTGTTAGGACATGGCCTTGTCGATGCGCCATCTAGATTTCCCTGTGATGAAACACATGGAGCCGAGGTGAGATTTGATAAAGCATTCTCTTTACCTTGTATCAATAGTCCTGTTATCTGCTCACACCTCACTAGATCCAATGTCTCTAGGGCTCGCACATGTTGCAATATCACAGATAACCACTGGCCAGTTATTCCACAATCTTTAATGCTGATACACTTGAGAGATGGACCGGCATCAAAATTTGTGCTTGTCATGTATTCGTGGGTATGTGTTGACGACACATCTGAAGAGAAATTTGTTTGGCATGACGATATTTCCAACCTCTTCAAGCAGGCGAGTTGCTTCCAACCTTCTAGTGAAATAGACAACAGAGTATTGCAGCCCACTATTTGCAATCGAGTTATGGTCCTCAGGTTGTGGAATGACAAAATTTTGTCATCAAGGAAATCAATGGCAGATGGATCACCATAATATCCAATTCTGTATTCCCCGCTTGATGATCCCTCCATCTTTGGAAGTGTGGAAACTTTTGTGATGGATAATTTACAAAGGCTACTTGAAGGTGGTAGAGGATTTGATACTATTAAATAAGGACAATCCTCGATGGTAAGCTCGCTAACATGGAGCAACCATGAGTGTTGCTCGATTTCACATTTTTCACAGCTCTGAAATAGGGGAAATGCCTTCAGTACACAGCACCGCCTAATCTCCAGCACCCTCAAACTACAATTCAAGTCCCTCACTGAACTGGAGGAACATCTCTCTAACTTTGGCATATCAATCAACACCAGTTCCTCAAGTGAAGGAATTGACAACTCCGCTACTTCTGGCATATTCCTTAACTTCAACTTCGTAAGAGACGATAGACTTTCTAGAGATGGTAGTATTTCCCATCCTTCACAATCCTCTAGATGGATCTTCTGCAAGCAAGCAGACCATGCTGGGGAGCAAGCACCAAAGGCTGTCTTTGTTAGAATAAGATTCCTCATGCTGACAAGATCACTCGTACCATCAATAATAAGTGGTTGTCCAACATCTAATACTTCAAGATGGTAAAAATTGCTCAGAGATATACGCAAAGCTTGATTGCTCCCTTTGTTCTCAAGTTTTAGGTAATGAAGATGGGTACAATTTACCAAACTGCACATGAAGGTACGAAAGGACCAGGAGAATAATGAGTTATCAAGCCCAATTAAGATCAATGTCCTCAATCTTCTCACTGAAGAAATCATACTCATCAACTTTTCTTTAAACTTCCCATTACGAAGTATGAACCCACGTTCATCTTTATGATACATTGAATCAATTAGGATTGAAAAATGGCGTACGGTTGGTAGAACTTCTTTGCACTCTAAACCATCCATAGTTGCAAACTCGGCCCTTGAAACCAGTCTTGCAAATTCATGCATCACACCACACATAACATAGTATTTTTTATGGCCAAATGTACTGAGGCTTGTTACTATATTAGCCTGCTCAAGGAAACCTGAGTTAACCAGAGCATTGAGGTAATCTTGTCCTGCCTCAACAGATTTCACAAATCCCGACGATATCCACATGTGAACCAAATTGTCAATATGGAACAAATAGCCATTCGGAAATATAGAACAAAACAAGAGACATTGTTGTAAATTGTATGGCAACTGATAATAACTAATCTTCAAAGTAGTCACGATGCCTCCACGGAATTGCAGAGATTCCCAAACACCATTCTTCATGATGCTTTTCCAATGGTGAAGACCAGGCTGCTCTCTTAACATGTCCGCTGCATTTTCTGCTGCTAATGGGTTGCCATTTAACTTTGTAGCTATTTGACGGCCGATATCTAGATGTTCTTTGCATTGGTTATCACCAAATGCACATGCTTTAAACAATAGCCAAAAATAATCATTTCCTAGAGCTCTTAATTCAACTGGTTTGATTGTACCTAGCCTTTCTGCAATGGACAAATTCCTAGTTGTCACAATAATCACATTACCTTTTGTGCAACTTGACCCCAAAGCAGCTATTAGATCTTTCCATTGGGAATTATCCATGCAGTCGTAGACATCATCTAGAACAAGTAGAAACTTTTTGGACAGACATGCTATATGTTTCTTTAAGGCCTCTAGAAGTTTCGAGTAGTTGCTGACTCCTTCATAGCTTTCTCTTTTGCGAGATCCTTCATGGTTGGCTGAAGCAACAACGTCTAAGATCTCCCTTGTCACTCTTACTTCATCAAAGATGTTGGACACCCAAACCCATATCCGCTCAAATTTTCTTTCGACACATGGTGCATTGTATACAAGTTTAGCTAAAGCTGTCTTCCCAACTCCTGGAATGCCTACAATAGGTAGCACAGTACTGTTGTCCGACTTAACATCTTTGATCGCCCTTATGATTTGGGCTCTCTGAAAATCCCTTCCATATACCTTTCTAGGACGAGAGCTTGATGTTCTTACTCGTGTATCTACGTTGTTAATCTGATACTGATCAGGCCTTGCAATAGAGTCCTTGAGATACTCAATCACATCGTGTCGGATGCTTCTTAACTCAAGAACTATTTCCTGGATGCTTTTCAAAAATTCGGCCTTGTCCCAGAGGTGTGTGGTTGTAGCTACATTGTACTCAATTCTCTTTCTTTTTCTCCCGTCTGAATCGTTGGTCGAAATTGTGGCACCATTTTGCACACTGTTGCCGACACTACAAGAGGAAAAGAATCACAGGTTGGTCATCAGAAAATTATTACTATAATTTAAAGGATCACATGTACGCATATTATATATTAAGCGTTGCGATGCAGAACTTGAAGGGTAAGTAGTACCTTGGACGGTTCGGCGTCTCTTCAATTGCTGAACGTTTTTTGTTGCAACTTTTGAGATGCTTGTGCAAAGCTGATGTCCCGTGACCCCATGTAAGCTCTCTGCCGCAGCAATTGCACTTCGCTTTTGCAGGCTCTCCATTAACAGATGGTATAATCTGAAAATAGTCCCGCACCTCGGATCGATTTTTGCGGCCGCTATTATTCAGTGTACCAGTATTGTTGGCCGATGCATCTGCTTGTTCTTCTCTATCTCTGTCTCCATCTCCAACCATGCCTTTCGGTTCAGTAGCAGGAGCAAGCATACCTGACCGAGAACGGAGAAAGTAAGGACACGTCAAGCGTCACATTTATCATCACAATTTACTAAAGAAAAAAAACTGTAGAGAATCACAGATCACAAGGATCGAAGTATACCAAAAGTATTGGCCAATGCATCTACTTGCTCTGCAACATCTCCAACCATGCCGTCCAGATCAATAGCAGGAGCAATCATAGCTGAAAAAGAAAGGATAAAGGACATGTCATGAGGATTATGATTATCACAATCTAAAAAAAACACAAATCGCAAGGATGGATGTATACATACCTCTTTCGACCTGGTGCTGGAGCCTACAATAATCGAGCTCATCCACGACGTCGTCAGCGTCATACATGAGCTCCTTGACACGAGCGAGGGAGCGGGCAAGCGGCTTGTTCCCGACCGCCCTCCCCTTGACACCGTTGACGACCGTCTCCATCCTCTCCACCTCAGACTTGAGTTCCCCGATGGCACCGGCGAGGCCGACTCCATGAAGCCAAGCGTCGAGCTCGCCGGTGGGTAGAAGAGCTTCGAGGATAGTTTGCACCTGCCATAGAATCGCGGACTCCACAGCGGTCGCCTCTGCCACCTCCATCAGATCGATCTGAGCCATGGTGATGGTGAACGGAGGAGGAAGCAAAACTGAGGGTTGCGTAGCCAAAGCAGAGTAGTCAGAAGTGCATATGGATGGTTGGATGGAAGCTGGAAAGATGAGAGAGCGTGTCGATGGTCTATGCCCAGTCACAGTCACCAGCGGAAGCGTGCAAAAAAGAGGGCCCGCGATTTCCACTGCAACCTTCGGTTTCCAAATTGAACATTGACCAACGTCGATTAACAGCCTCAGGCATGCCTTATGATACAGTAAACTAGCATCCGTCGACTTATGAGCTTAGAAACGAAACGGTAAACAGGCTAAGAAAATGCTCGGTTGAAGGCCGTGGCAGACGTGGGGAGCTCGCCGTCGGGTGAGCTCTCGTTGCAGCTCTAGCACGTGTCCCTCATCTCCTTCCTCTCGAACCACCGCCCGGAGCGCCGTAGCCGTTGGGCCCACGACCTTCGAGGCGCTCCTAGAGGAGAAGACGAGGTGGGAAGGGCAGCTCCCGCGGGGACCAGACCCGCTGCCGCCGCTTCCTCAGCCGCCGTCCCCGCAGCCGTAGGCCCCACAGATGGACACGGATGACCCCATGGAGGAGAACGATTGCTGCATCCTCAACCAGGCTTTCTTCTGGTAGGTTTCGAATCGTGCTCAGTCTCAACTCAATTAACCACATTGCTATTCCTTTTCTCGCTGTTTTTCAGCACCACAGATTACACCACGCCGGAGATGCCGCAGTGCTGCCGTGCTGGTTAATGTATAGGAGAACATCCCTTGCCCCAAATCTCCGGAGAAATCAGGTCAGCTAATCTTCAGAGCAAGTTGTACGGAACCAGACTTCCCCCTCTCAGACTGATTATCGATTGATTACAAAGTGTATCTGTTTCTGCCACAATATCCAATCATCCAACTATAATGACTTACTCAGTAATTGTCATGGACTCATCAATTGACTGGCTCGCTCCATTTCCTTGTTCCCTCTTGAGTGGGTGAATGCCCAATACTTGTAGATTGTTCTCCCAGAGGTCTCAAATCCACATTTTTTTTTTCTTTCCACCTGCAGATTACTCCATTCCAGTTTCACAATCTGATTCGGAGGAAGAAAGGTTGATATGACCTGTGTTGCATAAGAGTGGCGGCGGTTATGTCTCCTAGTCAGCAGTGGCTACGCGCTGCTGGGTGATGCCTCCATAACTTAATACACATCCATGTACATGATGATGTTTATGGTGGGAGGCAAGGCAACTCAGCAGGTATCATTTATGTATTTTGTGGCATCAAAACAGTTCAAAAGTGTGTACATTTCCCTGTCATCTAAGAGTCCTACTTCAGTAACTATCTTGTACCGCATATCTTTTCTGTTTTCCCTCAGTATAAATAAAACATATTGATATCTGTGTAGCTATAGTGCAGGCTGAAACATAGAGGTAATTTGTTTCTTTTGTTTAATTTATGAAGGTTTTCCCCTTTTCAGTTGGCAGCAATGGTCTTTCATGCTACAAGACTCGTTTTCATCAAATTAGGTATGCGCTGAATGTATGTTACTTGTGTGTTCGTCTTCAGGCTGCACTCATCCATTTTGATGGGGCAGTTTTATTCACTGATATATTGACATACTTAATTTCTAGAAAATTGGTCATGTCCTCATGGGAACTTCGATGTTGTGTTCAAAGTTCTGAACAGGATATCCGTGCTTGTATCCGTGCTTGTATGCAGCGAAACAGAGCATCAAGCAGTTGCATAATTATGTGATGTTTTGAGAAGGAAACATCACGTGGTGTTTACCAGTAGGTTTGATGCATAACATTAGTGACCATTCTTCTATTCATGACATTGTGTTCTATACAAATCAAAAAATCTGAAGGAGCTGTCCATTTTAGTCATTTGTCTCCAGCCTTATATTCATTCTGATTTTGATATTTTGCCTTGCTTGAGATCTACAACACACCTTAATTTTTTTTTCTCTGAGTGCTGGAGCTAATGCTAACGGGAAAACTCCAAAAATGATATGCATCAATATTTGGACATGTGGTGATCTATCTACTATGAATATGTAGTTGCAAACGAGAGCTCTTTAGTGAAGTTAATCAGTAGGTGAATAGTATAGTCGGTTGGTCTGTCCACAGATTAAGTTTCCTTGCAGTAAATTATTGTTGCCTGAAGAAATAAATAACTAATCGCATGTTGATGGATTGCCCTGCTTATTTGTGTTGACAAAAAAAAAAAAATTGAGTAGTTCCTTTTTAAAAATTTTTGTTCCTTTGTTTGTCTGCTGGTAATGTCCTCTTTTCTGGCAGGTGTCACTACCTCTACCAAATCTGTAGGTTTTCTGTCCAAGTGGCAATGGGTGTCAACAACCTGGCAAAACAATGGGCATCCGGCATCCCTCGGTACAAAACTAATGGATTGATCATTTGAGCATGGGCTATTTGTTTCGCAAATATTTCACAAGACTGTGAACTTCAGATTTGTGCCGAGTTAGTTCTTTTAGATGGTATGTAGCCTCAAGTCTTTTATTGCTTTAGCTGAAAATTAGCTCTTTGGCATTGTGGTTCCTGTGTCAAGACTTGTCATTTTTATCGTTCATCTAGACTACATAGGTGTTTGTAATGTATATTTTTTGATAAAAAAATAAGACTTGTCTTTACTACTTAAATATTTTTGAGGCATGAATGTATGATTTAGATGTTTTGACTGACATAATAAACAAATCACCACATAGAACATGTATGATCCTACCACAAGTCAATGTAATTTTGGATTTATGCAGTTTCAGATAAATTGGGGCAGTGTTTTTATAATTTTACACATGTGGGAAAAGTTTGGAATATGAGATTGTTATTTTGGTTGCAACGCACGGACATTAATTCGAATACGAATGCTAATTCCTCATTCCTAGCAGGGCTGTGCAGGAATGCAGCTGTAGAAATTTCAATGCAAAGATATCCCACACTTTTAGTACTGTGAGACTGGGTCAGATCTCCCGGGAAGCAGGGCTGCAGCGTTCCCAGGGAAGCATCTCTGATATCCAGTACACCAAGTGAACACGGGAGAAGCCATCTTCCGTTTGCTTGGTCATCAATCTCATCTTCATGCACCAAAGACGATATCAGCTCGTCGCATCCAACAATTCTTAGCTCCTCAAGGGAGATGAATCTAGAGATGTCTTCCTTGTTCCCCTGAAATGTTGTTAGATGGCAATATATAATTTCTATCTTCTTGAGAGAGGGGATAATATTAGATGGAATGCACAAGAGTTTGCTAGGACATCGCCTAGTCGATGCGCCATCTCGATATGAATTTCTCTGTGACAAGGCACGTGGAGCTGAGGTGAGATTTGATAAACTATTCTCTTTTCCTTGTATCGATAGCCCTGTTACCTGCATACAAGTATGCAGATGCAATTCGTCTAGGGCTCACACATGTTGCAGCATCACAGATAACCACTCTCCAGTTATTCCACAATCTACAATGCTAAGACACTTGAGAGACGGTAAGGCATCAAAAACTGCGTTTGCCATGTTTTTATGGGTATGCGTTGATGGAACATCCAAAGAAAAAAAAATTACCTATTGCCAACCTCTTCAAGCAGACGAGTTGCCTAAGACCTTCGAGTGAAAAATACGATAGGTTTTCGCAGCCCATTATTTCCAATTGAGTCATAGTCCGCAGGTTGCGAAATGACAAAATTTTGTCAATCCAGGGTCAGCCCTGATGATTCGATTCTCAATTCTGCGTCTGATGATCCCTCCATCTTTGGAAGTGCGGAAACTCTTTCGATGAATAATTTGTAAAATCTAGTTGATGGTGGTAGAGGATTTGATACCATTAAATGAAGACACCCATGGATGGTGAGCTCGCTAACATTGGGCAACCATGACTTCTCGATTTCAAAATTTTCACAGCTCTCAAAGAGGGGAAAGGCCTTTAGTACCCAGCATCTCCTGATCTCCAGTACCCTCAAACTTGAGTTCAGGTCCCTCACTGAATTGGGAAAACATCTTTCCAACTTTGGCATATCAATCAAGACCAGCTCCTTCAACGAAGGAATTAACAATTCTGTTACTCTGAGCATATTCCTTAGCTTCAACTTTGTAAGAAATGATAGCCTTTCCAGAGATGGGAGAATTTCCCATCCTTTACAATCCTCTAGACGGATCGTCTGCAAGCAAGCAGACCATGATGGGGAGCAAGCACAGCATGCTCCCTTCGTTAGAACAAGTTTCCTTATGCTAACATGATCACTCATACCATCAATAATAACTGGTCGTCTAGCATCTAATACTTTAAGATGGTAAAGATTGCTCAGAGATATAGGCAAAGCTTCATTGCTCCATTTGTTCTCAAGTTTTAGGTAGCAAAGATGGGCACAATTTACCAAACTACAGATGAAGGTTTGGAAGGACAGGAAGAATAAAGAGTCATAATCCCCAATTAAGATCAATGTCCTCAATCCTCTCACTAAAGAACTTATACTCTTCAATTTTTCTTCGAACTTCCCATTACGAAGTATGATCCCACATTCATCTTCATGGTACACGGAATCAATTAGGATTGAAAAATGGCGTATGGTTGACAAAACGTCTTTGCACTCTAAACCATCCATAGTTGCAAACTCAGCCCTTGAAACCAGTCTTGCAAATTCATGCATAATACCACACATAACATAGTACTTTTGATGGTGTAGAATGGAGTCTTTTGTTTCAACATGCTCAAGGAGTCAAGGAAACCTGAGTTAACCAGAGCATTGAGGTAATCTTGTCCTACCTCAATAGATTTCACAAATCCCGACGATATCCACATGTAAACCAAATCGTCAATATGGAACAAATAGCCATTTGGAAATATAGAAGAAAACAAGAAACGCTGCTGTAATTGGTAGGACAACAGATAATAGTTAATCTTCAAAGTAGTCATGATGCCTCCACGGTGTTGCAGAGATTCCCAAACACCATCCCTAATGATGCTTTTCCAATGGCCAAGAGTAGGCTGCTCTCTTAACATTTCTGCTGCACTTTCTGCTGCTAATGGGTTGCCCTTTAATTTCGCAGCTATTTGATACCCAATGTCTAGATGCTCTTTGTTGTTGTTATCACCAAATGCATATGCTTTAAACAATAGCCAAAAATCATCATCTTCCAAAGCTCCTAACTTAATTTTTTTTAAATGAACGGCAGGAGCTCTGCCTCTCAATTAAGGTAGAATAAAAGAAAGTTTATGTACAGATTTTAGTCCGAACGAAAGTGAAAGCAAAGGAAAAAAAAGAAGTGGCAAACACACAGAACCACAGCCTAGGTGCAGCTCCAGCACCGGCTTGCTAGTTCCCCCCTTTCTAAAGCCCTTTTCCTTTGCTCAATGTCCTCCTTAATTCTCGCAGCGACCTGTGAAGCCGATTCCTTGGCATTATTGAAGATTCTTCGGTTTCGTTCCTTCCATAGATTCCAGCATGTGTAGATCACTAAGCCATTGAAACGCCTCCTTTCTTCTTTTGCGACCTTGGGCACAGTCTTCTCTCACCAAGCACTCAAGTGGATCGAGTCATGGTCGGACTGCATCAGATGCGTGTCAAAGTGCTCCCAGGTTAGGACTTGGTTCCAAACCGCCTTGGCGAACGGGCATAGAAGGGACAGATGCAGGCATGTTTCTAAAGGGCCATCACACAACACGCAGTGATCTTGGTGAGGCCACCCTCTTTTTTGCAGGTTGTCCGCCGTGAGTATTTTTTCTTGTACAAGAATCCACGCGAAGACTTTGCATTTGTTCTCCGCCTAAGCCTTCCAAATTAGTTTGCTTTTGAAGATGCCATAGGATCCTTTGAACTGAATCCTGTATGCCGAGCGAGTGGAGTAGCAGCCGTCAGCGGTCCATCGCCAGCTCCTAATTTAACTGGTTGGACTGTACCTAGCCTTTGTGCAATGGACAAATTTCTAGCTGTCACAATAATCACATTACCCTTTGTGCAACCAAAGCATCCAACAGATCTTTCCATCGGGAATCATCCATTCTGTCATTGACATCATCTAGAACAAGCAGAAACTTTTTGGGCTGATAGGCCATATGATTCTTTAAGACCTCTGGAAGCTTTGTATAGTTACTTACTCCTTCATAGCTTTCTCTGGTGCGAGGAGATCCTTCATGGCCGTTTAGGGTAATAACGTCTAAGATCTCCATTATCACTCTTACTTCGTCAAAGATGTTGGACACCCAAACCCATATCCGCTCGAATTGGTGTTTAACATGTCGATCATTGTATACAAGTTTAGCTAAAGCCGTCTTCCCGACTCCTACAATGCCCACAATTGGTAGTACAGTTATGATGTCTGACTTAGCAGCTTCGATCACCCTCATGATAAAGTCTTTCTCTGTGTCCCTTCCATACAACTTTCGAGGACGAGAGCCTGATGTTCTTACTTGTGTATCTGAGGTGTTACTATGATACCGATCAGAACTAGTAACGAGTCCTTGAGATACTCAAGTCACATAGCCTCGGATACTTCCTAAGTCAAGAGCTATTTTGTGTATCCTTTCCAAAAATTTGGTCTTGTCCCAGGGGTGTGTGGTAGTAGCTACATTGCCCTCAGTTCTCATCCTTTTTCTACCCTCAGAAGCATTAGCCGAAATTATGGCAGCACTTTGCACACGATCACCAAAACTACAAGAGGAAGAGGATTCCAGGTTGGTCATCAGAAATTTATTACCACAATTCATAGTTGCAATGGATGTCATATCTTAAATTTATTACCACGTTCATGTAAAACTTCTACGCATACTCACTAACATAATTCGATATTGGAAAAGTGATGCAATGCAGAACTTGAGGGTTAAGCAGTACCTTGGACAGTTCGGCGCCTCTTCAATTGTTGCGCGTTTTTTCTTGCAACTGGCACTGTTACGATGTTTGCGCAAAACTGACGTCCCGTAACTAAAAGCAACCTGTGTGCCACAGTCAATGCACTTGGCTCTCGCAGGCTCTCCATTAACAGACGGTGTAATGTTGAAATAGTCCCGCTCCTTGCATCGATTTTTGCGGGCGTTATTGTTCGGTACACCAGCAGTACTGGCCGATGCAGCTACGTGCTCTGCTCCATCTCTATTATCTCCATCTCCAACCATGCCTTCTGGCTCAATAGCAGGAGCAAGCATAACTGACAAAGAAAGGAGAAATCGGTGACATGTTATGAGGCGCGTTTATAATCACAGTTTATTCAAAAGAAGAAGAAAAAAGCTATAAAGAAAAAAATCACAAAATACTTACCAACAGTATTGGCCGATGCATCTACTTGCTCTGCTCCATCTCCAACCATGCCTTCATGCACGATAGCAGCTGACAGAGAAAGGAGAAAGTTACCATCACAATTGTCAAATAAAAAACTGTAAACGAGGTGTACACCTACCTCCTTGGACCTGTTGCTGGAGCCTGCAATAGTCGAGCTCATCCACCACGTGTCCACGTCGTCGGCGTCATACATGAGCTCCTTGACACGAGCGAGGGAGCGGCAAGCGGCTTGTTCCCGACCGCCCTCACCTTGACACCATTAATCACCGTCTTCATCCTCTCCACCTCAGACTTGAGTTCCCCGATGGCACCGGCGAGGCCGACTCCATGAAGCCAAGCGTCGAGCTCGCCGGTGGGTAGAAGAGCTTCGAGGATAGTTTGCACCTGCCATAGAATCGCGGACTCCACAGAGGTCGCCTCTGCCACCTCCATCAGATCGATCTGAGCCATGGTGATGGTGAACGGAGGAGGAAGCAAAACTGAGGGTTGCCTAGCCAAAGCAGAGTAGTCAGAACTGCATATGCATGGTTGGATGGAAGCTGGAAAGATGAGAGAGCGGGTCGATGGTCTATGCCCAGTCACAGTCACCAGCGGAAGCGTGGAAAAAAGAGGGCCCGGGATTTCCACTGCAACGTGGAGCAGTGACCAGCACAAGTGTCTACTCATCATCCGCAAAAAATATCTCCAACCATCGGTTTCCAAATTGAACATGGACCAATGTCGATTAAGAAGAAAATGGTCGGTGGAATCCATCTTCTCCGTGAAATCATGAGAACCCCAAAAAGATTAAGTTTTAAAAAACTAGTAAGTAAATTCGCACGAATAGTATAGGTAGCTACTTTGATTATTATTATAGTATATTTGGGTTTTTTTATTCAGTTGAGCGCAGTGAGAACAAATAAAATAAGAATGAGCACAACGAGAAAAGTATAAAAAAAGGGAATGCAATAATAGTAGTTGCATTTTCAGTCTGACGCTCTCCCAACTGAGCTATCTCCACTTGTGTATTTCATTTTTATATATTCTTATATACGAATACATTTCTGGGCGGCCTCCACCATATGACCGCTAAGCTGTGTGCTGTGTACCAAACAGAGTATGCCGGCCCAGGGCTCAATCCTTCAGATCTTCAGTCTGACGCTCTCCCAACTGAGCTATCACCGCTTTTGTGTTTTGTTTGTACAGTTTTGTTTATATCAATTAATTTCTGGTCGACTTACACTGTATAACCAAGCTGTGCTGCGTTCCAAACAGAAGCAGTGTGTCCCGGCCCAGGGCTCAATCCTGGGTGATGAGGTCCTTCCTCTGACTGAGACAACCCAACGTCCAAAACCATGCCGTGGATTTGCCTGACGCCGGAGCACTGCAGGTCTGAACACCGATGCTAGCACCAAAGATTTCCAAACGTGCCGGCACGACACTACACAGCCCTAGCCCGCCTGGGCACGGCACGACAGGCACGGTTGATGAGGCGTGCCGTGCTGTGCCACCGTGCCGGAGTTCAGGCCCAGGCACGGCACTAAACTTGCTGGACCGTGCATGGCGTGTCGTGCCGGCACGGCAGCCCAGCGTGCTCCGTGCCGGCCCTGGCACTGAAATTACAAAAACATTCATTCAAATAATAAGTTCACAGAGATAACTTCTAACTCATCAAAAACATCAGACAATGCCAACAAAAAACAGCAAAGAGCAAAGAACAGCAAAGAACACAGGCAAGTTTTGAAACTAAAACTAATTAAAGCAGGAGCTGTGCAATGGCTGCCTCATTAAAAACCTGTTTAGGTAAAACTCACCCTTGTGAGAAACCCTAAACAGGAAAACAGTACAGCCAGCTCCTAAGATTGTTCATAAGTTCATTACATCCAGCCTCTAGCATGTCCAAGTCTTAATAACTATTACAGAACCATTACATAAATGGGGAACTTAATCAACATCAAGATAAAGTGCTTCAAAGGCCTCTTCCAGCTCTTTATCCTCCACCATGTGCTGCAGTCTTGATTCAGCATTCTCCCAGTCCTTGATGCAGGTTAGTGCCTCCACAGTCTCAGGGTTCAGCCTCCGACGACGCTCCTCGATGATCCTGCCAGTAGTGCTAAAGGTAGATTCTGAAGAAATGGTTGACACAGGCACAGTAAAAATATCTTTTGCAAGAATAGAAAGCACAGGATAAGTAAGCTTGTGCTCATGCCACCATTGCATGGGGTCAAAATCATCATCTAACTAGCTAACTGTGTCAGAGTCCAGGTAGGATGCAAGCTCACTAGAGTTAGAAGCAGAAGCTGCCTGTAGCAAAGAAGTGGCAGAACACCCCTGGACTGATCAAGATTAGGAGGGAGGGAAGAACAGCCAGCTCCAATGTCAAGCTCATCATCATCATAAATGTCAGCCAAGCTGTTCTTTTTTTACCAGAAAGGGATGCAGGAACAGCCCTTTTGAGCCTAACAGAGCCATACATTGCATCATACCTGTTGTACATTCTAAAAAGAAGAGATATGGTGTCCAGCAACTTGTTAGTGTAATCAACATTAAAAAGAGAATTCAATTTTCTAAGCACTTTGGTAAAGCCCTTAATCTTAGCTCTTGGATCCAGTATGAATGCAATGGAATGAAGATCAGGTATGTTCTTCCAGTACTTATTATATTTGTCGATCATAGACTGTACAACAGATCTCAGATGTTCATCATGTTGATATTTATGCAGGTGAACAGCAATCTTAACAATATGATGAATCATAAGTGGAGAAGTAGGATAGTACACACCAGATAAAGCAACAGTAGAGTCATAAAATAGTTCAAGAAATTGCAACATCTTAGTTGCCATATCCCAGTGATCATCAGTCAACAGGAAAAGACTACCTGCAGGTCTAGGGTAATTAGCCTCAATGAAAGTACTGAAAGTACTCCTGTGAGGTAACAATGTTTTCAGCATAAGGTAGGTGGAGTTCCACCTAACATCCATGTCCAGTGAGAACTTCCTAGGTCTAACACTGCTAGCAATGCAATAACTCTTGTATGCAACAATTTTTTGATTAGAGGAGTTTAAAAAGAGATTGCAGTTCTAAAGTTGTCAATGAGAGGATTAACAGCAGCCAATGCTTCCTTAACAATCAGGTTAATAATATGACAAGCCCATCATTGATGCAAAAACAGATCAGCACCTAAATACTCTTTAAGTATAGGTTTCAGTTTATCCATTGCATTTTTATTGGCAGATGCATTATCCAAAGTCACAGAAAAAACCTTGTTAAGTATACCATACTCAGCAATGACAGTTTTAACACGCTCAGCAATGTTTTCAGCATTATGGGAGACATCAATCAACCTTAAACCAAGCACCGTTTTCTCTAATTGCCAATCAGCATTAATGAAATGAGCCACAACAGACAGATAATCTTCTTTGGCCTTTCCAGACCAAATATCAGAGGTAACAGCAACAGATGAAACAACATTGTCTTGCAAACAAGTCATTAATTTTTCACGTTTACCATTGAAGTGCTTAAACAGATCTCTACCAGTAGTTTGCTTAGAGACAGGTGCAAAGGCAGGGTTATGAGCAGTTTTAATGTAATCTTTAAAGGCATCAGTTTCACCAATCAGTAAAGGTAAATCTAGCCTAGCAAGCATACGAACAAGCTCAACACGAGCTACATCAGCATTGTACTCCCAACGACGAACAGAACCATCAGGATTAAAACCAATTTGAGTTTGAGACATGCGACATTTCTCATGACCCTTAACACAAACCTTAAGATGTCGAGTAAGATGTCCAGTGCCATTAGCAGAATAAGCAGAGTATTGTTTCTTGCAATGTTTGCAAGTGGCAGCATACCTGACGGGTCTCGCCTTACCTGGCACCTTCTTGAAGTGCTTCTCAAAATCATCCCAGACAGCAGAGGTAGAAGGCCGATTGGAGCCTGCCACCTCACTGTCGCCACCGTCGGCATCGGGATTGGCCCCTTCCCCGTGGACCGGGACCGCATCTTGGTCACAGGGAAGGGGATCAACAGCAGACCGCCCAAATAGCTCGGCGCAGTCCTCGCGGACATTATCCTCCTCATCATCCCCGGCTAACCCGCACATCCGCATCTCGTCGTTCTGGGAGTGAGCAAACTCCCCTTCATCGGCGTCGCCTACGCCTGGGGCCATCTTTGCCGTCTCCGGTTCCTCGACGACTGCATCAATCAACAACAGAAAAAGACGGTTAGGGTAGGGGATTAGGGTTAGGGTAGGGGATTAGGGTAGGGGATTACCCTTACCTCTAGAGCCGGAGCGCCGGAAACAACGATGAGATGGACCGGATGCACACCCCCGGTACCTCAACGGAGACCGGAGCCCCGGAGGTGGCGGCGGCCGGCGATGAGAACGACGGACAGAAGACGGAGATGCGTCGAGGATGCTAAGAACGAGTCTCAATCGACTTTCAGGGATGAAGAACAAGGGAACAGATGGAGATTGAAGGCAGGAACCATCAGATCTGAGAGAGAAGAGGGAGATTGAGGGCAGAGAGGGAAAGCAGGGAGATTGAGGACGGAACCCACCGGATCTGACCCCTTACCCGCCGGAGAACGCCATGGACATGGCGGAGCAGGGGAACGAGGCGACGATCAGGCGAACGGGCGAGAGCGAGGAGCGAGACGACAGCGGGCGAGAGCGACGAGCGAGACGAGAGCGGCGCGAGGGAGACGAGAGCAGGCGAAATGAGCTAGGGTTTGGATGGTGGGGGGGCGGCCACGGCGGGTGGCTTATATACCGTAGCCCCACCGGCGCCCCAAAGCCGTGCCGCCCGTTAGAACGGGCCGTGCCCGGGCCGACTCCTCGGCCCAGGCACGGGCACGGCACCGGGCCAGGCCAGGCACGGTCACGGCTGGGGCGGGCTAGGCCGGGCTTTTTCGCACCGGGCTCGTGCCAGCCCGTTTCAAGCGGCCCGTTTGGAAATCTTTAGCTAGCACCTTGGATAGTATTATAGTACGTTTTTACTTGCTCATCCATCATCCCTACCAGGGACGTTCTGTGTTCAGTCTTTTTTTTGCTATCTTGCGATTGTGCAGAACTGATGTCCCTTCAGTAGTGTTGCACCTAACAGCCATAGTAGAGAATGCACTCTTCTTTCACAGGTTTCCGTCAACAGCCATTTGCAGTCTGAATTCCAAAACTCATCCATGCCTTGGACCGTTCCTTGCGATTGGTGCTGCTCGCTGTCCAGGTTTATAGCAGAGAAATAAATGAGTTGCTTCAATCCCATCCCCATTATGTCTACTGGTTAGCAAGAAAGCAAGATGATTGAGGATAACATTATTTACACCAACTCTTTTGATTACAGAAAGTGCATTCTATATATATTGTAGTCCCTTCTATAGTCAACATAAAGAATAAACACCCTCGGGAAGAAAATACTGATAGGCTCCTTTCAGTCATATGACAACGGAACCTCTACTACCTCGCTGCTTTCAGAACGGCCGGCAAGGCCAATCAGGAAAACCGTATTATGCATTCAGCAACATGAGCACTTGAGCAACGAGGACAAGGTTTACAAGTGAAACAAAACCCTGTGCAGAATCAGAGAACCTGTCACAAGAAACATCATTTTTTTTGAAACTAGAAACATCAGGTTTTTGAGGCTACAGAGTGAAAAGAACTACACTTTTTGGCACTTTTGGCATTGGCTTCTCGCCCTTGGGCCGTGGTCAATAATAAGCCTTGTAATTTGTAGCAGGTCTCCTAGGAGAAACAGGGAAGTGCTTTCAACACTTGCTCGAACAGCTTGTAACAGTATGATACTCCTATAGGTTCTGAAGACAGTCACTGCAGCCATGGTGTCAGCTTGAATGCCTGCAAATAGACATAAAAAAGTATGTAAACCATCAAGATAACATGGTCAACGGTAGAAGTATACCTTAAGATACTCCGGCAATCAATGATCTCCAACCGCTTGAGAGAGAGAAGGCTATGTAGACCCACAGGAAGATCCGAGAGTTCCCAGCAACCAAAAAATTGGAGCTCTTGCAGGGACGTGAGGAGCTGAAGTGCTGCCTCTTGCTCGCATGTTAGTCCTGTCGCGCCGTAATTATCTTCATATTCGTCCACGAGCTTTAGGCATTGGAGAGAGGTGAGGTGCTTGCAGAATGGCGTGGTAAGAAAAGACGGGTCGCCGATCCGAAGCCTTTCCAATCGAGGGAACAGGTCATAACCCTGCGTTGATAGACTCTTCAAACACCGAGGTAAGCCTGGGCATTCGAATACTTTCAAATACCTAAGACTGCGGAGGGATTGGAAGCCCTCTAGTGCGTCTAGCGATTCACAATGTCGAATTGTCAGCTCTTCCAGTGCTGTGCAGGAATGCAGCTGTAGAGATTTCAATGCATCATTTCCCGACAATTCTAGTACTTTGAGGCGGGTCAGATCTCCCGGAAAGCAGGGCTGCAGCGTTTCTAGGGAAAGGAAATGGATATCCAGTATGCCAAGTGAACACGGGAGAAGCCATCTTCCGTTTGCCTGGTCATCGATTTCGTCTTCACGCACCAAGGACGATATCAGCACGGGGCAATCAAGAATACTTAGCTTCTCAAGGGAGGTGAATCCAGAGAAGCATTCCTTGTTCCCCAGAAACTTTAGCTTGCAACCTGTAATGGACAACTTCTTGAGAGAGGGTATGAGGTTAGATGGAATCCGCTGGAGTTTGTTTGGCCTTGTCGATGCGCCATAGGGATTTCCCTGTGATGAAACACATGGAGCCGAGGCGAGATTTGATAAAGTATTCTCTTTACCTTGTATCAATAGTTCTGTTATCTGCTCATAGCTCACTAAATCCAATGTCTCTAGGGCTCGCACATGTTGCAATATCACAGATAACCACTGGCCAATTATTCTACAATTTGTAATATTGAGACACTCGAGAGATGGACAGGCATCAAAATTTGTGCTTGTCATGTATTCATGGGTATGTGTTGATGACACATCTGAAGAGAAAATTATTTTGTATGACGATATTTCCAACCTCTTCAAGCAGACGAGTTGCTTCAAACCTTCTAGTGAAATAGACAACAGATTATTACGGCCCACTATTTGCAATCGAGTTATGGTCCTCAGGTTGTGGAATGACAAAATTTTGTCATCAAGGAAATCAATGGTACATGGATCACCATAAGATCCAATTCTGTATTCCCCGTTTGATGATCCCTCCATCTCTGGAAGTGCGGAAACTTTTGTGATGGATAATTTACAAAGGCTACTTGAAGGTGGTAGAGGATTTGATACTATTAAATAAGGAGAATCCTCGACCGCTAACATGCAGCAACCATGAGTGCTGCTCGATTTCAAAATTTTCACAGCTCTCAAAGAGGATAAAGGCCTTCAGTACCCAACATCTCCTGATCTCCAGTACCCTCAAACTACAATTCAAGTCCCTCACTGAACTGGAGGAACATCTATCTAACTTTGGCATATCAATCAACACCAGTTCCTCAAGTGAAGGAATTGACAACTCCGTTACTTCTGGCATATTCCTTAACTTCAACTTCGTAAGAGATGATAGACTTTCTAGAGATGGTAGTATTTCCCATCCTTTACAATCCTCTAGATGAATCTTCTGCAAACAAGCAGACCATGCTGGGGAGCAAGCACCGAAGGCTCCCTTTGTTAGAATAAGATTCCTCATGCTGACAAGATCACAAATACCATCAACATTAAGTGGTTGTCCAACATGTAATACTTCAAGATGGTAAAAATTGCTCAGAGATATAGGCAAAGCTTCATTGCTCCATTTGTTCTCAAGTTTTAGGAAGCGAAGATGGGCACAATTTTCCAAACTACAGATGAAAGTTTGGAAGGACTGGAAGAATAAAGAGTCATAATCCCCAATTAAGATCAATGTCCTCAATCCTCTCACTAAAGAAATTATATTCTTCAATTTTTCTTCGAACTTCCCATTATGAAGTATGATCCCACATTCATCTTCATGGTACACAGAATCAATTAGGATTGAAAAATGGCGTACGGTTGGTAGAACTTCTTTGCACTCTAAACCATCCATAGTTGCAAACTCAGCCCTTGAAACCAGTCTTGCAAATTCATGCATCACTCCACACATAACATAGCTTTTTTTATGGCCAAGTATAATGAAGTCTGTTATAATAACCTGCTCAAGGAAACATGAGTTAACCAGAGCATTGAGGTAATCTTGTCCTGCCTCAACAGATTTCACAAATCCCGACGATATCCACATGTGAACCAAATTGTCAATATGGAACAAATAGCCATTCGGAAATATAGAACAAAACAAGAGACATTGTTGTAAACTGTATGGCAACTGATAATAACTAATCTTCAAAGCAGTCACGATGCCTCCACGGAGTTGCAGAGATTCCCATATACCATTCTTAATGATGTTTTTCCAATGGTCAAGAGTAGGCCGCTCTCTTAACATTTCCACTGCACTTTTCGCTGCTAATGGGTTTCCCTTTAACTTCGCACATATTTGTAGGCTGGTGTCTAGATGCTCTTTATAATTGTTATCACCAAATGCACAAGCTCTAAACAATTGCAAAAAAGCATTATTTCCTAGAGCTCTTAATTCAACTGGTTTGATTGTACCTAGCCTTTTTGCAATGGACAAATTCCTAGTTGTCACAATAATCACATTACCCTTTGTGCAACTTGATCCCAAAGCATCCAATAGATCTTTCCATAGGGAATTCACCATGCAGTCGCAAACATCATCTAGAACAAGTAGAAACTTTTTGGACAGACAAGCCATACGTTTCTTTAAGACCTCTAGAAGCTTTGAGTAGTTGCTTACTCCTTCATAGCTTTCTCTGTTGCGAGATCCTTCATGGCTGGCCATGTTAGGATCGAATGTGTGTACCCCGTAGATCCGGGAAGACCTCATCCTTTTCTTCTCCGTAGATGTACCACAGCGGGTAGACGCCGGTGCCGCGGTATCTCCGGCTCGGTGGAGTCCGTAGTGGTACTGTAGTGGTCCGGTGGTGACCTGCAGGGGGCGATGATGTCGTCGGTGGACACATCCTGTCGCTGGCAGCACTTCTTTAGGATCGGATTAGGATTTTCTGTAGGTGGGATGGCGGCTCCAGTGAACCTCGTGACCCGAGCCTAGTTCCCCACTCCTCTATATTTATGTGCTGTGCGACAGGGGCCCACCAACCAGTTAGGATTGGGCTCCCCCGATCAGGGAGCAGAGGCAAGGGCCCAATAGACCGTTGGGCCTATTGGTGGAGATCAACTAACATTCTCCCCCTTGATCTCATTCTATCTTTCAATTTCATATCATTTACTTTTGTTCATTCCATTACAGATTAGCGCATAGAGCATGTCTCATCGTTCCGGTCCATTTCTGATAGATTTAACAGCTACAACACACTACTCTGTTCTGAAATAGATACTAATCTTTGGCCTTCTTTTGTCTAGGAATTTTAGGCTTTCCCTTAAACCCATGCTAGCTACATGTTCTCTGAACACCATGTTCTCTGAACATGTTGGGTGGTAAGCCATTTGTAAGCGGATCCGCGAGCATCCTTTCTGTATTTATATGCTCAAGATTTATGACTTGATCCCAGACTTTATCTTTCACAACATAATTCTCTATGTTAATGTGTTTGGCAGCACCACTTGACTTATGTTGTGAGCATACTGTACTGCCAGATTATAATCACAGTATAACTTAAGTGGTCTATAGATGTCGTCAACCACCTTCAAACCGGGTATGAACTTCTTTAGCCAGTTCACCTGCCCGTTGCCTCATAACACGCTACAAACCGTCATACATTGTGGACGATGTAGTGACAGTTTGCTTTGAGCTTTTCCATGAAATAGCTCCCCTTTGCGAGATGGTAGAAAATCCACGTCTGGATATGTATTCACTCTCGCATAATCAGAATCTAAATATCCCACTATGTGGAATGAATCAGATCTTCTATATGTCATCATGAGGCCTTTCGTTCCTTGCAAATAATGCAAGACTTTTTTTACTAATTTCAGTGTTCTATTCTAGAATTGCTCTGGAATCTGCCAAGTAAAACCCGGTAACAAATGCCAAGTCAGGGCGCGTACATACTTGAGCATGTTGCAAGCTTCCGACAGCTGAAGCATATGGAACCACTTTCACTTTATCAATTGAGCTCATATTGGTTCCTGGGGCATTGAAAATCTCCATATCTGTCGCCCTTGACTATAGGAGCAGGTGAAGGACTACATTTGTGCATACTGAATTTCTTTAAGATCTTTTCCATGTATGCCTTTTGTGACAGTTCTTATACCATTTGTCTTCTGTCTTGGTGAATCTCGATCCCTAGAACGAACGAGGCTTCGCCAAGATCTTTCATATCAAATTTCTTTGTCTCCAGTAGTAGACTGACATCACTACTAGCAAGTAAGATATCATCTACATACAGGACAAGGAAGATAAACTTTCCATTCTTAAACTTTGTATTGACATAATTGTCCTCTACATTCTCTTTACTTTGTATAGACACAATTGTCCTCTACATTCTCTTTAAAACCCAAAATCCTTTATTGTCTGATCAAACTTCAAGTATCACTGTCTTGAAGCTTGTTTTAATCCATAAATGGATTTCTTTAGGCGGCATTCCATTCGTTCTTTTCCTTCCATGACAAAACCTTTCGGTTGTGCCATGTAAACATTTTCCTCCAAGTCTCCGTTGAGAAATACCGTCTTTACATCCATCTGATGTAATTCTCAATCGTAATATGCCACTAATGCCATTATGATTCTGAAGGAAACTTTACATGAGACTGGAGAAAATGTCTCATTGTAATCAATCCCTTCTCTTTGCATATAGCCTCTTGCCACAAGTCGCACTTTATATTTCTCTATATTTCCTTGAGAGTCAAGTTTTGTTTTGTAGACGCATTTACAGTCTACTGTTTTGGCTCCTTTAGGAATTATTTCTAAATCCCAAACTTTATTGGCATTCATCGATTTTATTTCATCTTCCATGGCCTCAAACCACTTTGATGAATGATCACTTCTCATGTCTTCTTCAAATGAGGTGGGATCATCCTCTATTTGAAATTGCTCAGTATTGTATATTTCATAATCAGCAGGAATAGCTGATTTTCTAACTCTTTGAGACCTTTTAGGGGCCTCCATATTTGTCACATCTTCTGTTTGAGGCTGTTGTTGCTCCCCCTCATGTGTGGCAATAGGTTCTATAGGATCCTGAAGAACAAGTTCCTCATCGTCATTCATTGTTGCCACAGGTGGGATAACAACAGGTGCTGGTACCACAATATCTAGCACTGTCGATGCAGCGACAGCAGGTAGTGAGAAAATTGGCTCATGAATCATTGGAGTGGGCACATACACCCGCTTCACTTCAAGGTCAATTTCTCGAGCTACCATGATTCCCCTCATCAATTCGTCCTCTAGGAAGACAGCGTGTCTCGTTTTCACAAACTTTGTATGTCTCTCTGGACAGTAGAAATGAAAACCTATTGACTTTTCTGGGTAGCCAATGAAATGGCAACTTACTATTTTGGAAACTAGCTTCCCAATATTTGGGTTAAATACTTTAGCCTCAGCAGGGCTCCCCACACACATGCAAGTGGTTTAGTGAGGGTACTCATTCTGTCCACAACTCATACGGTGTTTTGGGCACCGACTTTCTTGATACTCTATTGAGAATATGAATGGTGGTTTTTAACTCCTCCATCTATAGGCTTAACTATAAGGTGGAGTAACTTATCATACTGCCCACCATATCCATCAGGGTACGATTGATTCTTTTAGCTACTCTATTCTGCTGAGGTTCGCCCGGTGTAGAATACTGGGCTACTATGCCATTTTTTTAGGGTATGCCGACCATAGTACTCCCCCACGGTCAGACCTGACTATCTTAATCTTTAATATCTTAAATTTATCCAATACATCTTTTCTTTCTTTGATTGGATAAATATAGCCATAATGAGAGTAATCATCTGTGAATGTCATGAACGAATCATAACCATCCACACTCTTTACAGGAAAGCTGACCACAGATGTCTGTGTGAATAATCTGTAAAATTCCTGCGCTTCGTTTGTCATCTTTCTTTACATACTTTCCTTTTATGCATTATGAGAGCTCTAATGGAGAAAGAATATCATTCTTAACTTGTCTTTCTATTCTTCCCCTCGAAATATGGCCTAAACGTCAGTGCCATAATTTCGACGACGCATCGTGAGCTCTCTTATGCCATTCTTTTATCAGAGTAACACTCTGTCACCAGCTGCTTTATCAGCTGGGTAGCATATGTGTTTGAAGAGCCAGTAAACTAACTCTTTATTCTATCAAAGTACTCGGTGACCGTGTCACACTCTGGGATTGAGCCCACAATTGCAGGTTCAATCATGTTCTTTATCACAGCCAAATATTTCTTGTTTGCAGTGACCCACTTTCTATGCTCCAAAGCCATAGGATATCTTTTGGGATTCAAAATCCCTTTCTTTAGTTGCCTAAGTGGCATCATTCTCTTTTGTCTTCCTCACCGGTGCCACAATCTTAGTGGAACACGGTGAGGTGACTACCCAGTCCCATCAGTCAAGATGAAAACCAGATCAAACTTTTTCTTAACATATAAATAACACCATTTGCATGTCTTGATTCCAACGTTGGTCAAAATCAAAACATACAACTGTTCGTATACACTAATTCTACATCACCGTTGGGCAGAAATAAAATTAATGCATAAATCATTAACTTTTACAACTATTCTTACATACTAATTCTACATCACCGTTGGGCAGAAGTAGAATTAATGCATAAATCATTAAAATTATCAACTTTTCTTATACACTAATTCTACATCACCGTTGGACAGAAGTAGAATTAATGCATAAATCATTAAAATTATGATATTTTTATTAACAACGTTGGTCAGAAAATAACGACATCATAATCATGTCAAACCTCTTTTTCTCCAATTAAATAACACATTGGTTCAAAATAACTGGAGAATTAATAATTTCTCTAGCTGTGGAAAAACTCTCTTTTTCTTGAATTTTACCCACAGGGAAAATTGCTTTTTCTATTTCCTTTAATCCATTAATCAATTTTTAGGAAATAAACATTTACTGGAAAAACTTTGAGAATACACTTTTTCTTTAGCAGCGGAAAAAACTTTCACTTCATTTCTTGAATTTTACCCACAGGGAAAAATTACTTTTTCTATTTTCTTTGAGCTTTTTTTTATTTTCCAGAAATTAGCAATTACTGGAAAATAAAAAAAGAAAAACTGATCTTGATTCTTTCAGTGTTTTCGGCCCAATCGGCAAAAAACGGCCCACGGCCCACAGCCGCGCGCGCGCTCTCCTTCGCGCTCCCTGTCGCCCAGACCGCAACCTGGGCCTGGGCCAGGAAAGTGGCCTCATGCCCTCGCCCGCCTGGGCCGAAAGGCGGCCCGGTTGATCTGCGCCGTTGGAGCCGATCGGACGGCTACGCGGCGTCTTCGAGCGAACAAAAACCACCCCCGGCCGCGGTCCCCGAACCCTAGCGGCCGTTCGGCCTTCTCTGCTTCTCTCTCTTCATCGCCGTTCTCTCCTCTCTCTACCTCAGCGCAAACAACAGCGACCGAGTGAGACGAGCGAGCGAGCGGCAGCCATGGCGCCGTCGCCGGCCCCCTCGCTGGCGCGCGTGCTCCCCAATGGGTGAGCACGTCGCCGTCGAGCGGCCTGGCCGCGGCGCTTCCTTGGCCGAGCCCGGCGAGCCAGCTTCCCCGGCTCGACTTCTTCTCCCGCGCCGGCGAAGGGACATCCCACCGCACGATGAGGTAGATCCACCCCTTCCCCCTTCGGATTTGTATTGTTCTTCCTTTTCTTTTCGGAGTTCATCCGAATGGGAAACTAGGGTTAGGGTTCCGACCCTTGTGCTTTTCTCTTCTTCTTCCCCAATCGGATCTAGATCTTGTTTGCTTTTCTTTGTTTGACCGATTGGGGTTAGGGTTCGTGTGCCGACCCCTTTTCTTTGTTATTTTTCTTTTCGCTTGATCACCCAAAAAGGAGATCTAGGGTTAGGGTTTGGTTGAACCCGATCCGTGTTTTCTTTTTGTTTGATTTGAGATCGAGATGCTAGGGTTCCTTTTCTTCTTCCCCTTCAGATTTGCTTTTGGATCTTTCTTTCCGTTTCGGAGTTCATCCGAAATGGGGATCTTGGGATAGGGATTCATTTTCTTTTAATTTCTTTTCTTTTCGGAGTTCATCCGAATGTCTTCCATTCCCCTTCTTCCCCTTTCCAATTCTTCTTTTGGGATTAACTCGATTTGGGATGGGGTTACAAATTAGGGTTAGGTCTTAGGGTTCAGCCAAATCCGAACCCACCCTTCTTCTTTCTTCTGTTTCTCTTCCCGTTGAAGGCTTTTACGGGTTTAGGGTTTGGCCTCATGTGCCGAGGGCTCGTTCTAGGGTTCACTATTCTTCCCCGAGACTCATTCGCGGGTTAGGGTTAGTGAACCCCTTCTCTATTTAGATCCGTAAGGAACTCTTTTCTTTTCTTGCCGCACCGGCACTTTTCCCCGCGCGGTGGCGGTGGTGACCGGGGTTCCAGTGACGTCCGCCACCCCCGGTCCCTTTTCCGTTTCTTTTACCCGGTTAGGGTTAGGGTTACACAGAGGCAACCTGTCTCTGATATCATTGTTAGGATCGAATGTGTGTACCCCGTAGATCCGGGAAGACCTCATCCTTTTCTTCTCCGTAGATGTACCACAGCGGGTAGACGCCGGTGCCGCGGTAGCTCCGGCTCGGTGGAGTCCGTAGTGGTACTGCAGTGGTCCGGTGGTGACCTGCAGGGGGCGACGATGTCGTCGGTGGACACATCCCGTCGCTGGCAGCACTTCTTTAGGATCGGATTAGGATTTTCTGTAGGTGGGATGGCGGCTCCAGTGAACCTCGTGACCCGAGCCCAGTTCCCCACTCCTCTATATATATGTGCTGTGCGACAGGAGCCCACCAACCAGTTAGGGTTGGCCTCCCCCGATCAGGGAGCAGAGGCAAGGGCCCAATAGGCCGTTGGTGGAGATCAACTAACAGGCCATAGTAATAACATCTAAGATCTCCCTTGTCACTCTTACTTCATCAAAGATGTTGGACACCCAAACCCATATCTGCTCAAATTTTCTTTCAACACGTGGATCCTTGTATACAAGCTTAGCTAAAGCTGTCTTCCCAACTCCTAGAATGCCTACAATAGGTAGCACAGTAATGTTGTCCGACGTAGCAGCTTCGATCGCCCTTATGATTTTGGCTTTCTCCTCACCCCTTCCATATACCTTTCCAGGAAGAGAGCTTGATGTTCTTACTCGTGTATCTGAGTTGTTAATCTGATACTGATCAGGCCTTGCAATAGAGTCCTTGAGATACTCAATCACATCGTGTCGGATGCTTCTTAACTCAAGAACTATTTCCTGGATCCTTTTCAAAAAGTGCGTGGTTGCAGCTACATTGTACTCAATTCTCATTCTTTTTCTGCCCTCTGAATCATAGGTCGAAATTGTGGCACCATTTTGTACACTGTCGCCGACACTACAAGAAGAAAAGGATCACAGGTTGGTTACCAGAAATTTATTACCATGATTTAAAGTGGCACTGGATGTCATAGTTTCAGTAAAACGATCATATTGCTTTCCTATAATAACAAAAACTTGTACGCATATATTAAGGTGCTGGCTCACGCTTGTGTTTTTAAAAAGAATGAAAGCATTGCAATGTTCATAATTTTTGTCCATACAATGCAGATCTTGAAGGGTAAGTAGTACCTTGGACGGTTCGGCGTCTCTTCAATTGCTGAACGTTTTTTGTTGCAACTTTTGAGATGCTTGTGCAAAGCTGATGTCCCGTGACCCCATGTAAGCTCTCTGGCGCAGCAATTGCACTTCGCTTTTGCAGGCTCTCCGTTAACAGATGGTATAATCTGAAAATAGTCCCGCACCTCGGATTGATTTTTGCGGCCGCTATTATTCAGTGTACCAGTATTGTTGGCCGATGCATCTGCATGTTCTTCTCTATCCCTGTCTCCATCTCCAAGTCCAACCATGCCTTCCGGTTCAGTAGCAGGAGCAAGCATACCTGACAGAGAACGGAGAAAGTAAGGACACGTCAAGCGTCACATTTATCATCACAATTTACTAAAGAAAAAAAACTGTAGAGAATCACAGATCACAAGGATCGAAGTGTACCAAAAGTATTGGCCGATGCATCTACTTGCTCTGCTCGATCTCCAATCATGCCGTCCCGATCAATAGCAGGAGCAATCATGGCTGAAAAAGAAAGGATAAAGAACATGTCATGAGGATTATGATTATCACAATCTAAAAAAAAAACACAAATCGCAAGGATGGATGTATACATACCTCTTTCGACCTGGTGCTGGAGCCTATAATAATCGAGCTCATCCACGACGTCGTCAGCGTCATACATGAACTCCTTGACACGAGCGAGGGAGCGGGCAAGCGGCTTGTTCCCGACCGCCCTGCCCCCGACACCGTTGACGACCGTCTTCATCCTCTCGACCTCATACTTGAGTGCACCGATGGCACCAGCGAGGCCAACTCGTTGAAGCCACGCGTCGAGCTCGCCGGTGGGTAGACGAGTTTCGAGGATGGTTTTCGCCAGCCATAGAATCACGCCCACCAGTGCGTTCGCCTCTCCTGCCTCCAGCAGATCTGGCCGAAGCATTGTTCTTGAGCGGTGGTAAACGGAGGAAGACAACGTAGACAAGACAGAAGAGCACGCAAGGTGGTAAAGAATGGGAGAGCAGGTTGCCGTGCTGGTTAATGTATAGACTAATCGCATGTTGATGGATTGCCCTGCTTATTTGTGTTGACAAAAAAAAAATTGAGTAGTTCCTTTTTAAATTTTTTTTGTTGCTCTGTTTGTCTGCTGTTAATGTCCTCGTTTCTGGCAGGTGTCACTACCTCTACCAAATCTGTAGATTTTCTGTCCAAGTGGCAATGGGTGTCAACAACCTGGCAAAACAATGGGCATCCGGCATCCCTCGGTACAAAACTAATGGATTGATCATTTTGATGGGGCAGTTTTATTCACTGATATATTGACATACTTAATTTCTAGAAAATTGGTCATGTCCTCATGGGAACTTCGATGTTGTGTTCAAAGTTCTGAACAGGATATCCGTGCTTGTATGCAGCGAAACAGAGCATCAAGCAGTTGCATAATTAAGTGATGTTTTAAGAAGGAAACATCACGTGATGTTTACCAGTAGGTTTGATGTATAACATTAGTGACCATTCTTCTATTCATGACATTGTGTTCTATACAAATCAAAAAAATCTGAAGGAGCTGTCCATTTTAGTCATTTGTCTCCAGCCTTATATTCATTCTGATTTTGATATTTTGCCTTGCTTGAGATCTACAACACACCTTAATTTTTTTTTCTATGAGTGCTGGAGCTAATGCTAACGGGAAAACTCGAAAAATGATATGCATCAATATTTGGACATGTGGTGATCTATCTACTATGAATATGTAGTTGCAAACGAGAGCTCTTTAGTGAAGTTAATCAGTAGGTGAATAGTATAGTCGGTTGGTCTGTCCACAGATTAAGTTTCCTTGCAGTAAATTATTGTTGCCTGAAGAAATAAATAACTAATCGCATGTTGATGGATTGCCTTGCTTATTTGTGTTGACAAAAAAAAATGAGTAGTTCCTTTTTAATTTTTTTTGTTGCTCTGTTTGTCTGCTGTTAATGTCCTCTTTTCTGGCAGGTGTCACTACCTCTACCAAATCTGTAGGTTTTTTGTCCAAGTGGCAATGGGTGTCAACAACCTGGCAAAACAATGGGCATCCGGCATCCCTCGGTACAAAACTAATGGATTGATCATTTGAGCGTGGGCTATTTGTTTTGCAAATATTTCACAAACTGTGAACTTCAGATTTGTGCCGAGTTAGTTCTTTTAGATGGTATGTAGCCTCAAGTCTTTTATTGCTTTAGCTGAAAATTAGCTCTTTGGCTTTGTGGTTCCTGTGTCAAGACTTGTCATTTTTATCGTTCATCTAGACTACATAGGTGTTTGTAATGTATATTTTTTGATAAAAAATAAGCCTTGTCTTCACTTCTTAAATATTTTTTGAGGCATGAATGTATGATTTAGATGTTTTGACTGACATAATAAACAAATCACCACATAGAACATGTATGATCCTACCACAAGCCAATGTAATTTTGGATTTATGCAGTTTGAGATAAATTGGGGCAGTGTTTTTATAATTTTACACATGTGGGAAAAGTTTTGAATATGAGATTGTTATTTTGGTTGCAACGCACGGACATTAATTCGAATATGAATCCTAGTTCCTCGTTCCTAGCAGAGAGAGAAACGGGTTGCTTCAATCCCATCATCATGTTGGTTGTCATCACATCAGAAGCTGAAAACTGGACAGTGCCTTGCTGTAGGTTCAGAGAATTTTGGGTGGTTAACAAGAAAATTCAGGACAAGATTTATTTACACCAACTCTTTTTCTTATGAAAAAGTGCATTGTATATACTCCTATATCAGAGCCCCTTCTGTAGTCATCAACAAAATAAACAGTAAACATCCTTGGGAAGGAAACAGGGTCCTTTGACAGCAAAATATCTACCCCCGAAATTTCATATATCCCGTCAAGCCTATCACGAAAACAGTATTCAGCAACACGAGGACGTGAGGACAAGGTTTACAAGTGAAATAAAGCCTGTGAAGAACCGAGAACCTGACAGAAGAAAAAACAGTTTTTTTCAGGTTTTAGAATGAAAAAAGAAAACACTTTTGGACTCTCGTCTGTGGCCATTTTAAGCCTTGTAGGTTGTAACAAATCACATAGGAGCTTTCAACACTAGTTTGACCAGCTTGTAATAGTAGGATACTTATCGGTGTTTCGAACAAACACCAGCTAGTAAATTTATAATTGATGCGCGTTAAGCTCGGATGGTGCACTAAAGGACACAAAGTTTATACTGGTTCGGGCCGAATGTCCCTACGTCCAGTCTGCTGCTGCTCGTGTTATTAGTACCGAAAAAGGTTCGTAGTAGGGGGTACAAACGGTCGAGAGAGGGACCGGTCCCAAGTCTCTGATGGAAAAGGTCGGAAGGATGTCAAGAGCTTGGTCGCTACTTGACTGTATGTGTGATATGTGCTGTCGAATCGTGTCGATCAATCTCAATGTGAGTTGATCCGTCCCTTTAGCGGGGCGTCCTGCCCAACCTTTTATAGATAAGGGGGAGCAGGGGTTATATGTTGGAGGAAGGAGAAAAACCAAAGGCCAAGAAGCCCCTCTGAAGACGTTGGGTCTTCCTTTTTCTCTGAGCCAGCTTCGCTGACACGGCCAGACGGTGTCAGGGATTGGCACGTTTGGCGGGCGCCTGTGTGCTGACGACGCCACGCCCTTACTTGATCAGCAAGTGGTCACGTCCCGTCCCATCCCCCCCCCCGGGCGGCGTGTCGGACAGGGGTGTTGACCTGTAGCCCTGTGGGGAGCGGACGGCGCGGTGACCGCACGTTCGTCACTATAGAGGACGCGAGTCTCTTCTTGGACCGTAGTGGTTGTCGTATGTTTATGTCAGGTTCCGCTTCCGAGGACTGAAGGCGGCGCCTACAGCACTATTCGGACACTGTCATGCCCGGAATGGTCTAAAGCGCCCGTCCCGTCGTACCCTGATGGTACTTTCCTGCAACGGTGCAGGGCATGGTCCTTGGTACTGTGTTTGACTCGAATGTCCTGTCGTACCCTGTGCTTGTCGTCATGAAGGAGCAGGGTGTAGTCGTTGGGCGAGGCGGAGCCAGCCCTTGGACGTCGGGCGAGGCGGAGCCAGCCCTCGGGGGTCGGGCGAGGCGGAGCCCGCCCTCGGACGTCGACCGAGGCGGAGCTAGCCCTTAGCCGTCGGGTGAGGCGGAGCCTAGCCCTCGGGGGTCGGGCGAGGCGGAGCCCACCCTCGGGCATCGGGCGAGGCGGAGCCATCCCTGAGCCGTCGGGCGAGGCGGAGCCCGCCCTTGGAGGTCGGGCGAGGCGGAACCAGTCTTCCGTTGTTCGGACAAGAAGCGCAGTAGCATTCTCGTCTGACCAGAAGTGTCAATGTTCGATGGTTATTAGTTCCACCTTATTGGGTACCCCGGTATTAGGTCCCCGACAGTAGCCCCCGAGCCCTCGGGTGATTCGGACAGAATCGCCCGGGGGGTGTTTTGACTTGCTGGAGTTAATTCGCCAGAGGGTGCGCGCGAGCGCACCCGACGGGTGTAGCCCCCGAGCCCCCGGGTGATTCGGGCAGAATCACCCAGGGTGTATTTCAATTCGCCAGAGGGTGCGCGCGAGCACACCCGTCGGGTGTAGCCCCCGAGCCCCTGGGTGATTCGGGCAGAATCGCCCGGGGGGTAATTTCAGACCCTTCGCTGTGAGATTCGGTTTTTGTCAACCGGATAGTTTTATGGGAACCCTGGTATCCCGTTCGCGGGGATCTCATCTAGGGTCAGCCTGGCTAGGGCTTGACAGCGGGTCGAGGCCCTACTGATGCTCATGTCCCTGAGTCCTGGTCGCTTGCGGGCCCATCCCTCGTTGGGACGGCCGTCGAGACTGTTGGGCCGGCCCTTGGACTTCTGGGCCCAGGTGGGCCGGAGAAAGGGCCCTTTGACCTGTATTCCCTCGGTGGGAAAAGAGTCCTGGTCTGCCTGGGGAAGGCGAACCGTCCAGCGCGATTTTGGTGGGAAAGGATAGGGATCGCGGGCGCGTATCCTGCGACGTGACGCGGCGGTGTGTCGTGGCAGGCTCGGAGATCGAGGCGGACAGTTGTCCTTCTTGCATCTGTCGCCCCTATAAAACCACGGGGTTCGCCCCCAGGGTTCTGTACTTCGCCTTTTCGCCTTCGCATCGTCATCCTCCGCCGCCAATCACCAGAGCCTCCTGCACTCACATCGCGGCCGCCGTCAAGCTCGCATTCGCACCGCAGCCACCATTGAACTTGCATCCGTCCCCTCCCAATTGTTTCAATGGAGCCGTGGTGCGGATCCAGCATCACCCCTCATCGCCTGGAGGGCCTCGTTCGCTGTGGCCTCCTTCGCCCGCTGACCGCCACTGGGGAGTGGCGGCTGCCCGGTAATGAGGACGTGTCGTCACCGCCCGAAGGGTATGTTGTGTCCTTCGCTCACTTCCATGAGCGGGGATTCGCCATACCTGCTCACAAGTTCCTTCGGGGGCTGTTGGATTACTACCAGGTGGAGCTACATCACCTTACCCCCAATGGGATCCAGCACATGGCGACGTTCGTTGCCCTGTGCGAGGGGTTCTTGGGGATTGATCCTCACTTTGACCCGTGGCGGCATCTCTTCGCCATCAATCTTCTGAAGAAGCGAGTGAGGAAGCAAGAGCTGCACGCGTCGGTGGGATGTGCCGGCATTCACCTCCACAACAACCGGGCAGAAGTGTACCCGTTAATGCGGCTATCGACCTCCAACAAAGGGTGGCATTGGCAATGGTTCTATGTCAAGGATGACGCCGCCGCCCCCCTACCAGTTTTCTCCAGGTTCGTCATCGAGGAGGCCCCGGGGTCGTGGAAGTGGGGCGTCCCGGTCAAGGAAAAGAAGAACATCAACGACCTTCTCGTTGTCCTCCAAACTCTAAAAGATCGGGGCGTGAAGGGATCGGGGATCATCGGTGCCTACCATGCGAGGAGGGTGGCGCCGCTGATG